TAACTGCATTTCAGCACGAACAGCATATGACCCCTTCCCAGCAGTTAGTTTGTAAAAAGTCTCCCACCCTGGTTTATTCTCCCACATGGGCCACACCAAATGGCTTTAACTGTACTAGAAGTACACAAGCCTCTTGGACATGACACAAAACCAAAAGGAATGCTTAACAAAGTCATATTTTTGGGTTTGAATTTTACATATCTAATTCAGCATGTCAGCAACCATTTATGTAATAACAATGTAGGCAGCACCAACTTTGACCAACTAAAAGTCACTACCATGAATAAGCCATTCCTGTCCCAGTAGTAATACCAGCATGTTATGATAAATCTTTCTGCCAAAAGCCACCTGAGCCCCACAAAATCCATTTGTGAGCTTTATGACAGCCGCCCACCCGAGTTAGGCCCAAATGAATACACAGAAACTTGTATTAGGTACAATGCTGCTTGGCCAAAGACTAGGATTCTCATCTGTTAGCTCAATCTTAATTATCTTAAATCTATATACTTTATAAGACTTATTTTATTGGATGCCTTATTGGCTTCCCTTCTTGCCGGTGGATCACATTGTGCATAATGTTTTTGCTGTCTGTAAGTTTGTAGCTGTAGTCTCAACTTTAGGGAGTCTTGCTTGATTGAAACATATTAGTCTGGAAGGAATGTATACCTTTTCATTTTCTGTGGAAATACAAGCAAAACTTTATTTCTAAGTAGCCTGTCCCTAAACTTAAATTTTGAAGTTAGACCTTTTTTAAAATGCGCTTCCCTTCTTGCCGGTGGATCACATTGTGCATAATGTTTTTGCTGTCTGTAAGTTTGTAGCTGTAGTCTCAACTTTAGGGAGTCTTGCTTGATTGAACCATATTAGTCTGGAAGGAATGTATAGCTTTTCATTTTCTGTGGAAACACAAACAAAACCTTTATTTCTAAGTAGCCTTTCCCTAAACTTAAATTTTGAAGTTAGACCTTTTTTAAAATGCACAAGTTGGATTAATTTAGCAATACTTATAATCAAATGTATTTTATGATCAGTATTCTTGGAACTCAAACAATATAAAGACAACAATATGGCATATAGTATCGAGATTCTCTGTGTATTTTCCATCTTTATGTGGCTTTTTATTACTTTATTTCTACTCTCTTTTGTTTTTTTTTTGTTTTGTTTTTTTTTCCTAGACAGGGTTTCCCTGTGGATATCTGTCTGCCTCTGCTTCCTTCTCTCACAAGCCGTCACATAGTTTTAAATGTAATGTAAACCTTTAGAGATTTTTATTACTCTTGATCTGTCTTAGTCATCTTGGGAGTGCCGAGTCCAACACCCAAGATCATCAAGATGGAGCAAACATGGAAGCTGCTACAATGCCTCTAAGACGCCCGAAAGGGTAGGCTTTGGCAGCAGGTTTCCCTCTTTCTCTGGAAACCTTCGGGAATGTGTCATCCCAATACTGACACCATTGTGTTACAATAAACCTTCTAACCAAAAGCCACCTGAGCCCCACTGCCACGTGTGAGTTTTATGCCAGCGGCTCACCTGAATGAATACACAGGCCCAAATGAATACACAGAAACTTGTCTTAGTTAGGTAGAGTGCTGCTTGGCCAAGGACTAGGAAACTCATCTGTTAGCTCTGTCTTAATTATCATAAGTCTATATATTTTATAAGACTTATCTTATCGGACACATTATTGGACACACCTCCTTGCTGGTGGATCACATTGTGCCACTGGAGCAGAAGTGGAGGGGAAAAGTGTGGCCCTTCCTGTTTCTCCTTC